ATTTATTTTTTTAAATTTCTCTGTTTGCTTCATTGTCTTCTAAGAAGAATGCTAGATTCATTGGAAATATTTACATTAAAGTCAATAAAAACAGGAGTATACGCTCAATTTCAAATTGATAAACATTATTTATTAAAACACCCACATCTGAAGTTCTCATTTGCTTCATGCTATAATCCCAAACAGGAAATTCAAATTAAAATCAACATGTCTACATTCTTTTCACAGTTTTACCTGTTTGTTTGAGTAATTTGGATATCTGTTACACTATCGTAGCTTGTATAAAATCTTTCATGTCATTTTTTCAACGTTACTGCGTCGAACTTTGTTGTTACTTTCAACTAAGGCCAATGTACGTGTCCATCGTCAGCCATGACAGGTGTGTACTATTAAAAACTATTCGAAACGGATATTCTATTTCCGGCCACTTGTAAGGATGGAACAATATTCGTTCTTTTTTTTTTTTAATATCAAATCAAAAAGTAAAAAAAATAATTTAATAAATATAATTTTATAATCAACATCTCTTTTATCAATATATTTTATAATATACACTCACAAAAAACTTTTTCTTTTTGTATTGAGTTATACCGCCTTTTCTGTCTGTGTATTTATTCTAATAATATATTTAGTGTTTGGAAGAAGTTGAGACACTGAAAAAGACCAATATGAACGAAATGAGACCTTCGATCCGCTCCAACTAGATCGCTAGACACAAATGGGGGATCAATCTAATTGGAGAAGATCAAATATTATTTCAATTAGATTGAAAAGAAACTGTATTAATTACTGCTACCAGTCAATAAATCATGGTTTATGATTTATTTTGTTCACTTTGAGTATGACTTTGCAAAGCTTACAAGTTAGTAGATATTACATAAAAAAATAATGACCCCATCCCCTTTTATGAATTTAATATCGAAAGTGTGGTGGTCTATAGCTTTGCACAGTTCAACAAAGAAAGGGGGCTGGAACACTCTTGGGATTCTTACAGTTATTCAATTAATATAATCAAGTATCCCAAAATGACCTAGAATTCCCTAGGAAACACTGACACTTCGTAAGTTCAAGTTGGTAAGAAGATTCATGCAGATATGAAGGATCGAAACCGGCTTGGCCGTCATGAGAAATGTATGAGGCGCCGTTTTGGCATTTACTACCATTAAGTGATATCACCTATCCGAATAGGTGATATCACCTATTCAGTTGGTGATATTACCTATTTGAATAAGTGATATCACCTATTCAGCTCCTGAATTGGTGACATAACCTATTCGAATAGGTGATGTGGCTTATTCAAATAGGTGATATCATCTTTTCAAATAGGTGATATCTCATATTCTTTTTGAATAGGTGATATCATTTATTTGAATAGATGATATCGCCTATTCAAATAAATTAGTTGATATCACCAATTCAAATAGTGATATCGCCTATTCAAATAGGTGATATCACCTATTCATGAATTTTGAATAGGTGATATATCACTTAATCGAATAGTTCAGTTTTCTCCTGCGTTTTAGTAAGAAACATTTTAAATACCTTATGTTATCGATACCTATAAAGTTATATAAAATTTATAAATTTTACTTGCAGATCTAGTTTTGCATATCATTGATAGTTTTTCTCTGTTATAATTATTTATATTCAAAGATAAGTCTCGTCACATGACTAACGAGGTTTCTCGAAAACACATACCATATCTAGTCTTGGGAGCAGTTGTTATTTCATAAATAATTTGGTGATCATCCCAATGAAACCCGCGTTCTACGGGCCTGCCACCTCATTATTATGAAGACCCATCACATAAGGCAGCTGTGGCGTTCCATATACATAAAGAAACATAAGCAAGATCAGGGGAGTGGGGTCTGTCAGCTACCAGCATTGCCGAGTACAGTTGCGGATGATAGCTGACAACCACTGTTGGATCAGGGGCCTATATACTATACTACTAGTATATAGGTCCCTGGCAAGATATGTTGATTTTTTTTTCAAATTTTGGATCCTGGGATTAAATTATTAGGCTTAAAATCGGAGCATGTTCACTTTTTTCCTGCAAAACACATGCAAGACAATGTATAATATACTGATCGAAGCACCTCCAGATATGTGAATTCAAATTAGGACATGTCATGACCACTTTGGGGCTAGGGAGGGCCACTATATGGGGTTAAAAAATGATTTTTTTTTCTCTGATGAAGAACAGCAGGACCAGAGTGACTCGGATGAGCGTTGTGGCCCATGAGTCTCCTTTTTGTTTGTCTGTTTTAAAGGAACATCATGACTATGAATGAGAGTTGAACAATCGTGTGTCAGTTTCCCTACTCCCTACAGTGTCTAATGTCCGTATGTTCTACGTGTGTCATCTATAAACATTTCACATTTTTTCCAGGGTTACGAGGATTCAAGTTTGTTCAAATAAAGAATAATGGAGAGATAGTTAAGAAATATTGAAAATATGGTTGGATCATTAAAAAAAATCATCTCAAGATCCATTGATGCAGAAAAGATTAAAATAATGTGAATAATAACGTCCTTATTTTGTGCAGATTCGGGTGTCTTCAAAGCTAGCCCCTGTGCTTAGGGTGGAACCAAAATAGGGGGGGGGTATCAAAATTATACACCCTCGAAATCTGTACATAGGAAAATCATAGAAAAGAATCTTCTTTTCAGGAGGAGTACGATATAAAGTTATAAACCATATTATTATACAAACTTGCCCAGACATTTCAAATTCAAACGTATTCAAACCGGAATATAAGTTATAAACCATATTATTATACAAACTTGCCCAGACATTTCAAATTTAAATGTATTCAAACTGGAATATAGATGGGTTATGATAGGGTTTAGATATTCACATGGAACATGCATATAGGGAAACAATATTTTAAAATCCAGGCCTGTAGCAACGGTTTCAAAATGGGGAGGGGGGAGGGGCCAACTTCCCAAATTAATTTGACATAAAAAAAAATGGAAAGAAAAGAAAAGCCAGTGCTCTACCTTACAGCAACATAAAGTGGGCGGGGGGGGGGGGCAGTATCTAAGGGAAAATTTACTATAGCAAAATACTATATTTAGAAAAAGTGGATGGGGGGGGGGGGGACTGAAATCTTCTTCTTAAAAAAACAACAGTGCAATAAATGGTTACTCACACTAATATGCAAGCATCCAAGTATAGTGCATTTTTTTCATGGTCCCAGGGGGTTGAGTCAATGCGACTAAACATATGGTATTAAAAAGAAGATGGGTGAACAAGGCGTGCAGAATGCCTATAGCTTCAGATATTAATAAATATTCAATTTGTGAATTAAGTATTTAAAATAAAGTTCTCATTATTGAAATTCATGAAATTATGATCAACAAAACTTTTCTAAGAAAAAAGATCTCTGAAGAAATTATTCTTTTATTGAAAAAATAAAATGGTATTCGTGGGATTCGAACCTCTAACAATAAAAATCCGGAGTATCATATTGTTTTGAGATTAACACTCTTACCACTACGCCACGCAGCTCCTGACGAATAGTGGCATTTAAATCATGTTTGTGATATGACCCTCGACTTAATGGACTTCAAGTATTTCTCGGAAAGATGCGAATGCTTTGTCATAAAAGTGTACTTTTAAGGTATAGTGGGTCTTTGCTCCATGTTTTTGTAAACCAAAAAATGTATATTCTTATGCAAACTTTTAGGATCAACGTTCAAAAAAATGGAGCGAGGACCCACTCATATCGAAAAATTTTGTTAGAGTGTGAGAAATGATCCTTTTTGTCCTCTTTAGTGTGTATATGCTATTTCGTAGGCAAATAATTTCAGTCTTTGTGAGATTTTTGTAAATTGTAGAGATTTAGCATAAAATATACTTTAGTGTTAGATGAAATATCAAAGAAAATTTTTATATAATTGAGATTTTATTTTTCACTTCATGTTTGTCGCACTGTAGGCACTTCGCCCGCCTTGTTCACCCATCTTCTTTGAAATCAGAAAAATCGAGAGCAGCTGAATGACCAAGAATCATGTTAATTGAGACAAAAACATTCCTACACCGTATGGATTCCAGTTCTTTCAAAGGATGAGGATCATATATTCCATAAATAGTACAAATATGTAGAAGAAAATCTTTAAAAAATCTTCTCATGAACAGCAAACCCCATGCAATGTGTTTAAATTTGGTTAAGTCATGCCCCCCTGGGGCTAGGCTGGAGCCGTAACATGGGATCAAATATACAGGAAACTTCTGGTCAAGGTGTACTCAGTGCTCGGGTGAACGGTTGAGGCCCTTTTGGCCTCTTGTTATTCACTGTTAGATATCAAGGTCCGATGCTGTGGTTCGTAAATGTATACAACAGTACATTAGAATTCGTTATGGCAAACAAAAGTTACCGCCATCCCTCAAAAAAAAAAAAAAAAAAAAAAAAAAAATACGTACCTGATATGGCAGGGTCTCCCCCCCCCCCCCCACACACACACACACACAAATACATAAAAAAGACATAATTGTAATGTTAGCACTGAAAATAGGAAAAAATTGCTTGTTCAGTGAAATATTTCAAATTTTCTTATTTATTAATTATTTTATGTTTTTGATAAATTATTTATTATTATTATTATTATTTTTTTTTTTAGATCTCTTTATATTTCCGGATCGTTCACGAAATAAAAAAAAAATCTTTATTTTTTCATAACGTATATATGCAACATCCATTAAAGCTTGGAATTAAAATGTGATCCACCTCTTTCGTATCAAGCTTAAACGTGGTTTGGTGAACCACGTGTTATCCATATAAGGATAGTATCACGTGGTTTTTACCTTTCCACAACAATTTATTGCCAGGACAACGCCCACTGATTACAATGTCTACGTGTGTAATTACATGAAATGCAAAACATAGACAAAATTTACTTGATTTCAGTGCTAATCTAACTTCACACGTGTGCTTATTTACAATCATTTGAATGTTTTGGTGAATTTACGGGATTTATTTCGACAATAAGAATCAAAACAAAACATGTGATTTCTAACGTGGTGTATTGATGACGTCAAAATAGTCAATTCTGATTGGTTGTTCAATGACAGGTGCCACTCAAAAACCACGTGGTGTATTAATATTTTCCTAGCGTTGAGTGTTTTGGTCGGGCCGCGCCATCTTCCTCGAATGTACGTTGTTTTACGTTTCTTTGGACCAACAATACAGCCCGGCCTTTTAAACACTCAGCAAAGGATATATTCGTCACCTCTGCTTGCTAAAAATTCAAATCGAGAACTGAAATGAGTCTGGATACACTGCTTGAAGCTGCTGAATTTCTGGAATGGCGTAACCAGTCCAAAACACGTGGTATGTTTCGCACATGGCAAACTTTGGCTGAAAATGCTGGTGTAATTTGTCGTTCTTAAAGGCTAAAATGTATTGAATATGTTGCAAGCATTATTCCCTTTATCGATTACGGCACAATATTTGTATGTACTTTGGTAGAAAACAATGGTCAAGTGATTAAAATTTGTACACAAGATCGGTGTACAATCGTTCGGTCTCGCTTTCATTTTTGTCTCATTTGCATATGTATGAGCACGCCATTAACGTGATATTTACATTCCTTGTAGTTGATGAGTCTGCAGGCCGAGTATCGTCAACAAACGGATCTGATACTTCACAAGATTCCTACAGCTCTGCAAAAATCATCTACATGGATCCAGACGACGCAACGTTACGTCGGCGTGCAGGAGGGTAAGCCGCTGAAAATGTAAACAGACTTGACCTTGAGGTATCATCCACGTGCTTGATGACGAAACAGTCGATGTGTGCATTGCACATCATATGGAGGAAGTGACGAGAAGTCTGTCATTTAGGGGATGAAAAGATAAAGAAAAATTATAAACACTAATTTAAAACAATAAAATTTTATTTACAAATAAATACGTCATCCATTGCAATACTCACATGCACACTGTCACACTTGCACACATTCATATGTTGTATCACATCTAGGAAAGTCATGAAAATAGTGATGGTTTGTGAAAATGTACACATGGTACATGATTGATGTTAATTTTAAAAGCTCAAAAACATTTACCTTTACTATTTCCACCAGAAACAGAACAATTTTTATCATAAATAACGATGATTAAGTTATTAAAATATGAAAGATTTGAATGTATATTACTTCCAAAATGACTGTTTTTGAGAGTACAAGTGATATTTTGATGAGATTGATTAACATTTCAGAGCTGGGACCAGAGAGGTTCACAATAAATTAGAGAAAAACAGGTGAATATACCAGTTGTCATATTGGTAGATAGTTATAATCGTGTAGATGGTGATTAAGAACTTAATGTGTTTGAACTTATAAAGGAGATACAATGTATTTCCTTTCATTTTTTTGTATATAATATTACATACATAATAAGTTTTGAGTATCCTTTAGTCATAGTTCCGTATTTGTTCTTATAGCATATAGTCTTCAAAACTTTCTCATGGTAAATATACTTTCATAATATGTGTACATGTTTATGCAAAAAGCATAGCTAGGATCATACAGGACAGAACAAATGTAGATTTGAGCATGCTGAATATATCAGTATTAATATGACGCCACTGGATAATTATAATCAGAAAATAATTCATATTTTTATGAAATATTTGTAGGAGGGCACATCTGAAGGAATGCTTTGATATTTTAAAGAAACAGATTCCAACCTTGGAGGATAAGAGGACTTCAAATCTCTGTATTTTACGTGGCTCTATACGATACATTCAGGTATTTTTGATATTTTTTAATGTACAAAAGCTAAAATTTTGTCTGTCAGACACCATTAACTATCCTCAGTACAGAAATGAGCTAGAGGCCATTAGGTATGAAGTGACAGAGAAATTACATTTGTAATTTGATAAGATAAAAATGATATGGACATGCTTGTGCAGATTACCTATAATTAGTAACGAGAAGGGGTGGAGCCAACAGAAGGTACAATAAGTAGGTCAACCTGGGAACCATGGCTTTAAATCCAGTACATGTTGAAATCTGATTGGTTCGTCATATATAAACACTAGCACGTGAGAGGTCACCTGGGGTGAGGGAGAAAGAGAGACAACTCAAATTGAAATTGTAAAATGCTAATTAAATCATATGTTTAAGAAACTTTTTAGTGTACTTCCACATTTTTTTTTTATATTTTAGGCAGTAAAAAGGAAAGAGAAAGAATATGAACTAGAAATGCAAAGATTAGCAAGGGAGAAAATAACACTTCAAGAGAGAATCCACAATTTAAAATCCGAGTTAGCCAGGATGAATATTGAAGTGGATTTAAATAAGTGGGTTACCCTCCCTGATGAACAAGACACCAATTCCACATCAACAGCTACAGGTAATAGTAGATGTAACTTTTGAAGATTGTATGATTTTTTAAAAAATGATTGTTATCATTTGAATCACCTCTCTCCCTCCTAATAAAGGAAACAATGAAGTAAATGAATTGATTAAAATGATATGAACCATTTGTTAAAATTATACAAAAAATATGAAAAGAAGTAAATAAAATTTTATTATAGTTTTGTTAAGTAACAAGCCATGTAGATTAATATTTTATGGAGGTGAAATCAGCTAGAAATTAAGAGTCCTCTATATACTGCATACAAAAGAGTTCTGATTATGTGGTAATTTTTCACCAGTGACAACCATGAGATATGGTATATTGCACATGAAGTTGATGAAGTTGATAAACATTTTTCATTCATAATATCAAAGATTTTGTTTGACCACACATAACATTGTTGTAATGAAAAAGTGAAAAAAAAAACTTCTAGACTGTGCATTTGCTCTATTGAGTGGCATTAATCTTAGTTGCTGTATCTAATTCATATAAGACATTGTTTATAATCAATTTTTTTTTTTTTGATTCTCATCTAAACCCTTTTTTTTCAAATTAGGTTGTCTGTGAGTGAAATTATTTGCTGTGTCAGAGAATAAAAACAAGAATTTGTTTGCAAACTATCTTTGTATATTATGACATAACAAATATTAAGACCAATTTTTTCAGGTACCTCAAAAATGTATATTTTCTTTTATCTTACTATAAACATTAAAAAAAAAAGCACTAAAAAAGTATTTATTTGTCATTATTACAGAACAAGGAAGTCCAATATGCAGTGATGATGATGATGATGATATTAGAAGTCCTAATAAATCATACATGGGTAGGTTAATACAATAAATGTTATGCAAAGTGTATGGAAAATGATGCATTGCTGTAAGTTAAATTTTCTGTTACATATGATTCAAGTAAAGAGAGAATGATCTAGAAATGTCAAGATATACATTTATTAGCTCACCTCGACGAAGTCGAGATGAGCTTATGCTATACCCCCGGCGTTGGCGTCGGCGTCGGCGTTAGCGTCGGCGTCCCGGTTAAAGTTTTAGGAGCAAGTCCCATTCCCAAGTTACTATAAGCCCTACCTGGACCAAACTTGCATGGATGATGCATCTAGAATGGACACTGCCACACTTGCTTCGGATGCTGGATCTGACCTAGATTTTCCAGATGAGTGACCAGGTTAAAGTTTTTGGAGCAGGTCCATTCCCAAGGAACTATACGCCCCACCTGAACCAAACTTGTATGGATGATGCATCTAGGGATGGACACTACCACACTTGCTTCGGATGCTGGATCTGACCTAGATTTTCCAGATGAGTGACCAGGTTAAAGTTTTTGGAGCAGATCCTTTCCCAAGTAACTATACGCCCTACCTGGACCAAACTTGCATGGATGATGCATCTAGGGATGGACACTACCACACTTGCTTCAGATGCTGGATCTGACCTAGATTTTCCAGATGAGTGACCAGGTTAAAGTTTTTGGAGCAGGTCCATTCCCAAGTAACTATACGCCCTACCTGGACCAAACTTGCATGGATGATGCATTTAGGGATGAACACTACACACTTGCTTCGGATGCTGAATCTGACCTAGATTTTCCAGATGAGTGACCAGGTTAAAGTTTTTGGAGCAGATCCATTCCCAAGTAACTATAAGCCCTACCTGGACCAAACTTGCATGGATGATGCATCTAGGGATGGACACTACCACACTTGCTTCGGATGCTGAATCTAATCTAGATTTTCTAGATGAGTGACCAGGTGAAAGTTTTTGGAGCAGGTCCATTCCCAAGTAACTATAGGCCCTACCTGAACCAAATTTGCATGGATGATGCATCTAGGGATGGACACTACCACACTTGCTTCGGATGCTGGATCTGACCTAGATTTTCCAGATGAGTGACCAGGTTAAAGTTTTTGGAGCAGATCCATTCCCAAGTAACTATACGCCCTACCTGAACCAAACTTGCATGGATGATGCATATAGGGATGGACACTACCACACTTGCTTCGGATGCTGGATCTGACCTAGATTTTTCCAGATGAGTGACCAGGTTAAAGTTTTTGGAGCAGGTCCATTCCCAAGTAACTATAAGCCCTACCTGGACCAAACTTGCATGGATGATTCATCTAGGGATGGACACTACCACACTTGCTTCAGATGCTGAATCTAACCTAGATTTTCCAGATGAGTGGCCAGGTTAAAGTTTTTGGAGCAGGTCCATTCCCAAGTAACTATACGCCCTACCTGGACCAAACTTGCATGGATGATGCATCTAGGGATGGACACTACCACACTTGCTTCGGATGCTGAATCTGACCTAGATTTTCCAGATGAGTGACCAGGTTAAAGTTTTTGGAGCAGATCCTTTCCCAAGTAACTATAAGCCCTACCTGAACCAAACTTGCATGGATGATGCATCTAGGGATGGACACTACCACACTTGCTTCGGATGCTGGATCTGACCTAGATTTTCCAGATGAGTGAACAGGTTAAAGTTTTTGGAGCAGGTCCATTCCCAAGTAACTATACGCCCTACCTGGACCAAACTTGCATGGATGATGCATATAGGGATGAACACTACACACTTGCTTCGGATGCTGAATCTGACCTAGATTTTCCAGATGAGTGACCAGGTTAAAGTTTTTTGAGCAGGTCTATTTCCAAGTAATTATAAGTCCTTCTTAAACCAAACTTGTATAGATATTGATCTTGGGATGTACACTAACTAGAAAAAATATGATGTGAGATTTGCCTTGCTTATAGATAACCTTCGTCGAGGTGAGCTTCGTAATCTTTGATTACCTATGTTTTTTTTAGGTGAAAGGGACATTGTAAAGAAATTATTCCCAGGCAGCAGCAATCAGAATGCAATCAACCACCAGAGAGAACTGACAATAATAAAGGTCAGCAAGCCTGACCACGTCAACATGCCAGCAGCCACCATATTGAAAATTCCAACCTCTAAATCTCCTCTTCAACAGCATTTAATGTCTCCCATACAAGGGAATTCTCTGTTAACAAAGCCTCCTCTTCCAGCTCGGCCTGAGCAGACGTCATCTGCACCTGCTACTGTGACTACCTCGAATTCCTTAGATACACGCACGCCAGTAACGCAGCTGTTGGCCAGGACATTAGAGAAAAGACAAAAACAACAACAGAGTGCCATAGTCACAGGTAATCATCTGTAACATTCGTGTCTTTCATAAAGTACACATCAGCACAATTAAAACAATTTTACTCACATTATGAGTCTTATGGATACAGTGTCCATAATTTATTTTTGATAAAAATTTCTTCATTTGATGTAATGAAAAAAATTATGCAACAGATGTTAAAGTTCCATGGTATAATAGGCGTAGCATTTGTTGTAAGGTGTGCCTCTATATCTTGTCTGTCTTGGTTTTCAGTGACAAGCGTCAGTCCCAGTGTTAAACCACCACCAGTACCAACAGTACCATTAAAGACCATTCCTTTGAGACATTCTCTGGGCATTCCAATAGCAACACAGTTTGTTGCTGCCCAAGGAGCAGCCCAGTTAGCAGCAATTAATAAACTGGTTTCCCAGGGTACCTTAGCCATGCCGGTCTCCATGGCCAAAGGATTTGCCCAGCCCATTCTGGTATCTACTAACCTGATGACAGGACTAACTTCTAGTCAGCAACAACAGATATTGAATAGTGCTGCAACACAGAGTATGGCAAAACAGACTGCAGCTGCCACTTCTTCAATTACTACAGCAACCACCACTGTCAAAGTCACAGCACTATCCGCCACACCACTGTCAGCTTCAACACTATCGACTACACCATTGTCAGCTACACAGCTGTCGGGAACTCCTTCTATGGCTACCTTAGGAAATGTTTCCAACATCAGACCACTTGCAAATACAGGCACAACTCACATGCTGGGACAAATCCCCTTCAACATTCTAGCTCAAGCACTGCCGAGAACATCTTTAGGACAAGTCGTGACACCATCCACTTCCACAGTGTCAGTCTCTATTCCCTCTAGTCTGCCACAGAATGTTAACATGCAGCAGCTCATGTCACTTGCTCAAATTACTCAAGGGACACAATTGGTGTCCCCCATGACAGTTATGTCCCCTGGAGTGCAGTTTGCACAGGGATTAACTCAGACACAGTTAAACTCTATGCTTTCAAGTCCTCTTTTAAAGCAGATTCCCTTGATTCCCCATGGATTCTTGCAGGGAGCTCAGATGGGGGGTGTTTTAGGACAACAAGTGGTGAAACCTGTTGTAGTGGTCAGCCTGCCCAGTGTGGTGAGCACCACTGCAACCACTTCTACCATAGCTGCTACTACCACCACCACCACATCATAGGAATTGAATGAAGCCAACTGAGTCATTATTGAAATCCAGACAATTTTAGCAGAAACTCACAACCATGTGTCATCAATACTGATATGTAATGATGTAAAATGTATCACAAACTGTTATGTTATTTTGGGTACAGTCTAGTAATTTTAAATTGATGAGCTTAGTATCTCTCATTGGATCATGTATATGTATTATCTATATCGTGTCAAACTCATAAGTTCAAGATTGAGGAGTACTTGAGAGGAAAAATATGAAAATATTGCTTTCATGTTACATGTGGATATGATATGTCATTCATTCTGATAAATATTTATAACCCTTCATGGACCTGATTTGAAGAATAATCACTTTATCAATTGTTACAGTAATTTGTAATTCAATTTCATCCAGCTTTCTTGAATAATCATTCACAGACCTTATTTCACATATATGTGTTTATTTTTACAACAATGTATTAGTTTATGCTAACTTAATTCACAGATTTCCAAATGTGGAATGGCTTCTCGAAGCATTTTAATAGCTCACCTGAGCAAAAGGCACAAGTGAGCTTTTGTGATCCAAATTTGTCCGTTATCTGTTGTTTTTGTTGTCACAAACTTTTCTCCAGAACTACTGGGTCATTTTCTACTAAACTTGCCTCAAAGCTTCCTTGGGTGAATTTTATTTAAATTTCTTTATTTGAAGGTCCATGTCATCTTTCAAGGGGAGATCATTAAGAATTAGTGGAAATTTAATGGCATCTTTTAAAAATATTCTTCTCAATAATCACTCGTCAAGACAAGATTAAACATATTTAAAAAATTCATTACATAGTGTAGATTCAAATTTGTTAAAATCTTGACCCCCAGGGTAGGATGGGGCCACAATAGGGGATTAAAGTTTAACATAGGAATATGGTGGAATTAAAGAAAAAAATCTCAAGAACAGTAAGGCCATGATAAGTCATATTCACATGGAAACATCCTCAGGTAACAGTAAGGCCATGATAAGTCATATTCACATGGAAACATCCTCAGGTAATGTAGATTCAAGTTTGTTAAAATCATAATCCCTGCGGTAGGGTTGAGCTACAATATAGGATCAAAATTTAACATAGGAATATATTGGGGGGGGGGGGGGGGGCTTATGTTAATGGAGAAGAGCAGGGTCTTAGTTACTCAGGTGAGCGATTTTGTCCATGTGCCTCATTTCAAACTGTGACATAATGCAGTCAACTGTTGAGGTGGTAAAACAATGCATTTCACGCCATTTCTGTAAAGTGCTACATTTATTTTTTTTTTTGATTTTGAGAAAGTTGTATATGTTTTTGTTAAATCTGTTGTTATTGTTGATGACTGTAAATATTTCTGGTTTTCTGTTTATACAGGCCAAATCACCTCTGTCTGTGATCTTATATTAATTATGTGGAACATATTTACCATAAGCATTTTGTAAAAATACAGTGTATGTAATGATGCAGAAATTTTAGAGAGAGGGTAGAAGACTTCTACGTGAAGTGTGTAAGATAAGAACGATATATGTTTTTGAGGTATGGTTGTTTAAAATGCATGATATTTTGGAGAACATAGAGATATTTATGAATGATACTAATAGTTAGATTTAAGTACAAGGTATTGCATTATAAAATTCCCTTTGGTGCATTCAGTTAATTTGTACAGTATGTATTGTGACTATGTGTTGAATTTGGATGATGACAGCTACTCAGTTTTAGTGAAGATACAGCTTGTACACATTATATATATAGGTACAGAATGTGATGTTTTCGAGAAATACTGAATGGTAAAGGTTTACTCCATTTGAGTATATGTATTCTGACTTCAGAAGTAAGAGAAATGATGCAGAATTTTTTTTTTTCATTTGGGTTTGTTTTTCATTTGCAATTTCATTTTGTGTAACAAAATCTAGCTGAATTTCTGTTAGATTTTAACACGGATAAAAACTTACTGTAATTCAGAGTTGGAAACTCCTGAGGAGCATCATAGATAATAAAGATTTAAAAAAATGTTTTCTTTCAACAAAAGCTATACTTAATTGTCTGATATTGGAAAGTCTAATATAAACAAAAACATGCCTCTACATTTATATTAACTGTGTATAATAATGTCAGATTCATTCATCATAGAATACTGTATGTGTACTTAAAAAAGCGGGCTTCATATTTTAGTGGCTTTGGTGCAGACAGCGATGCGCTAATTCATAAATACCACTAAGAAATCAATTATATATATACAAAACATGGCATGGAAATGTGAAGCGCTAATTTATGATTATGCCAACAACTACATGCCCAGTGATTGTGCTAAATTTTGAATACGCCAATTTATGTACACATACAGTATGTATAAAGATCTACAAGAATTTGTAAACCATTACTGTATTATAAATTGGATAGTCATATAGGAATCTACAAACACCATTTGTAAAAGGGGGGTAATTTTATTCATTTCTAGCTGTTAAATTACATATATACTATAAATATTTGAAAATTAATCCAAAAATAAAAGTAATCAATATTGATGACTTGTGTTTGAATACTTTGAACATCAAGAAGTTCAAGTTTGTCAGAGTATGGTTTACGTGTATTTGACAAACATGATAAATTGCAAGTGAATTCTCTAAGCTCTGAAGTAAGAGACAATCATAATTTTGAAACTAAATTTTTATACATAATGTTTATAGTGTAAGTGGTTTGTGGATCTCTAAACTGGACACAGACCTAAGTGTGTATTGGTATTGGGGGGGGGGGGGATATGTTGTTTCAGACAAAGATTTGAACCTGGATCCCCTGAACACTGGACAGGTGCTGAGCTAAGATTTTAAGAACAAAGCTCTCTGACCAACCACTGCCACCGAACCTGTCTGACTATCACATTCCTGCCTCCTGAAGTACATTTGCTTCGGAAGACGATCCATATTCATCTGGGTGATGGGACTTTCTCGTCTACTTCCAAGGGTTGGCATGGCACCGAATATAACGGGGAGAACATGAGGGAACAACTTAAGTGAAATTCAGTTTATACCATTTCAGAATTCTGCGCAGAATTTCAGTCACTGACTATTAATTTCCAAAGCAGTTGGTATTACTTTCCACTTTTATCATAAACCTATGGTTATTATATGATATGAAAAGCATAGGAAATCTTATGCTTCTGGTATCAAACATAATGCTGTATGAATGATCAATTTTCAAGCAAATATTAAATCGATCGCCACAGTGTTGATAGATTGATAAATGTTTCAAACAGGAGTAAATGGCAGAGAAGAAGTAGGAATATTTATTTTGCATTTATCAAATTGTAGTTTTAGCAAGTGAGTTAAATATTAACAATACAGAGTTGCTGACCAACTCTTACATTAATATTTCTGTAACAATGAAATTATAACAAAATGAAAATGTTCTCAATGGATTATTTAAAAAAAAAAACCCAAAACTTTTCCCACATGGTTTTGTCAAAACACTTGGTTGGGCGAACTTAGAATTTGAATGTGGATGATTCTTATTATTTATGGATATAAAATTGCAGACTTTACGCCCTTTTTGACACATGTACATGTATATTTTTTCACTATAATCCATTGATAGTTTCACAAAAGGCTTTCCTGTCACTCCTAAGGCCCTAAAGGTGTTCTTGTACATCTTGCTTATACAGCTTTACATGTATTTGTCCAATAATCTACATTCAAATGTTCACTTGACAAACAATATGAATGAGACTGGAAATATTGAATTATACAATGCTGAGCACTATACATTAAAATATTCATATGCATTCCCTCCTAATCATGGCACAACAAAGAGAATTTAATGCAGTAATGCTTATATTTGTAGTGTGTATTGATGTGTTCAGTAAAATAGATATGTTCAATAAAATACACGTACAAAGTTTAGGTGAAGGTAACTCTGTTTGGAGTAATTTAAGATTCACTCAGGCAAAGTTTAAGTTCATTTAACTCTGCCCAATCATGTTATTTAATTGCTCAGACTATAAAATTCTTGAAATTTCCATTTATATTGTAACACCATGAAACTTGTAAAATATTCCGCGTTGTTGAAATAAGACTGTACGTAATTCAGTTTTTATTGATTCCCATCTTTGTTGCAAAAAACAAACCATCCCCTTGTGTTGCTTGCTGAAAGAAAAGATAAAACAGAGATTATTGTCATATAGACTTTATAGTATACATGTATAGAGAACATTCAGGACTCTACAATGTACTTATATCAATAATTATATAATCTTGAAGTTTTGAACTTTGACCATAGATTTCCTCAAAGCATGCTCCAAATACACATGCATGTAGTACATGTATAAACTAGCTAAGTTACTAATTGAATGGGTAATTGCATCCCAATGTTCATGCCAAAAATCTTGACCTTGAACGTAATGACCCCCTCCCTCCCCATCCAAATATGTAGGTATATGTACATGCATCTTTTCCAAATTACATGTTTTATGCATCAAAGTATAAATGTAACATGGTCATAATTAGCATTACCTTTGCAATAAAGCAACCATTGTATACTCTTCTCTACTAACATTTTCTGGATAACAATGAAATGACGAGTCTTAGTGTGTATGTCACTTGCCATAAAAATTCAGGGGCACTGATATCTCACCTTGTTAATTTGCTTGTGTCGCTCCTTACTCACAATTTCCTCCAAAATCTCCCCATCACCTTTGACTAACCTAAAATTGTTTAAAGATAAAAATTTTCTACTAAATTAATAATAATAATAATAATAATAATAACTAGACGAGCTTGTTGCAAAGCAACAAATAAGTCTTCCGTCTAAATTTTAAGGAGATGAGATCGAGTTCGGGAGACATCTACGGTCATATGAGCAAGAATGAGCCATTTACCATTACTTCCGGTGTGACCGGAAGTGACGTCATTTTGACGACTTTTGATGATCTCCTTAGCTGCTACTTGTCGTTTTGAACAACTTAGCTTCTATGATGCTATACAAATTCTCAATACTTTTTGAGATATCAGGAAAACACTTTTGGCCCCTCTAGCTCCCTGATTTTAGGGGCCAGCCCCTTATTGTTGATATCTTTTGAAAGATCGTATCATTCTACACAACTTTTGCTCTATATGTTTTAACAAAATATTTACAGGTAAAAAGATATTGTAGAAAAAGTGTTAGAAATTTTAAAAATCCCGATAGGACTTTTTTCGGGCCATAGCGAACGACGAAGTACGGCACTTCCGGGGAAAAAGAAATGCGTATGTCACATCTACACATAATGCTCTATCATCGCTGAAAAATTTCATGCTTCTACCATGAAGCCCTTTTGGGGAAACTGACGGACAAAGTGACCCTCCGAAAATCACTAAATCGCGGAAAGCTCGGAACCGGAAGTGACGTCATCAAAACAAAAAAATATACATCTAGATTTTTTAATGTTCTATCAGACCTGTAAGTTTCATGAAAATTGAGCGAGCCATTTCCGAGAACTCGCGTGCACAAAATCGGTAAGAAAAAAAACGATAATAATAATAACAAAAAATAGTGGAAAAGAAACCTAAGAAAAACAAGAAGGTCTTCCGCTGAAGACGGAAGACCTTAATAATAATAATTTTTTAAAAACCCATAAAAATATACTGGGACTATAGTGTATTACATCAAATCTTGCTCTTTGGCTTATTATACCAAGCTTTATTTTCTCTAATCCAAATGAATACATTCTCAAGTTGAAAAAATAATTCAATTCAAAAGCCAAAACACTGTAATTTGTATTCTCACATTTTTCAAATACATGTGTTAATATATCACACTTATATTTTTACTTTTGCAAAGGGAAGAGCTACTGCATATGTCTTTTTTGCATTAATTTTATTGATTTCTTTTTCTTTTGATGAAGAAGTAAATAAATAACTGCATTCAATTTTTCTGACATCTCATTTTACACTCAGAATTTATTTAAAACTCAGATGCTCTTTATTAGAATTCTTTCTTTAATTTATTTTCCTCCTTTTTTTTTTTTGGTTTTACAAGTACTATGCAATTCATCTGTTACCAATTATTAGCAATAAAAATGAATGTCATATAATAACCTGTGAAAACTAGGTGTTCTTGCTAGTCTTTCCTACCTGTTTACCTTTTTATTATAAACAGATAAACAGCAGTGAAATGAATGTCATGCTATAAATTGAGATTTTAATGATCATCTAATTTACCCGATAGGCATTACTAGCAATCGTCTTTGCAATGCTATAATTAGATGTCACTAATACATGTAATTCAGTTCCATATTATCGTTGAAGTAAATGAAGAGAACAATCCCTAAAAATGCTAAAGGTTTAAAATAAATGAAAATTTTTAGGATAAAACTGCTAATTCTTCCAGTCTCTAAAATAACAGTATTATACAGTATAATTGCCTGTGAAAACTAACTGTTCTTATTATAGGTCATTCCAGACCTGTTTTACCTATTGCGTCCAGTTTCGGGGTCATATACCCTCCTCACGACACTTTGCTGTTTCTCCCATTCTTCCTTTGTCATGGGTTTCATCATGCGAGGAGATGGACCACTACTACTACTGCTAGCTAAACATAAAGAGATTTTATTAAATGAGGTCATGAGTAGATTAAAGCACATGATGCATTTTAAAAATAAGTAACATCTGATTTTTTTCAGACCTACATTTGAAATACTTAATTTCAGGAACACCGAGTTCAAACCTGGTATATGTACCGGTACCACCAGAATTTGAAGGTCACCATACATACATGTGTGTTTTTCAGGCTAAGAAACTTTTCACTTTATCATAAACCATTTTGGACACTTGCCTGTAGGTTTTGGGACAGAGTTCTTGTCAATGATACATGTATTTTTATTCATTGTAGATGGAAGGTCAGCTCTCTCCTTTGATTTGCTTTTCTTCAATTTTTTCTTTGATTTCTTCTTTTTATGCTTTTTGTGGTCTTTCTTTTTCTTCTTTCTTCTAACAGGAGATGGCGATGAAGATGATGATGAACTTCTAGATCTTCAGTTTAAGAAAAACTTTGAATCATATTGAAATCAGAATCTAATTTCTTTTGATAAAGATAAATATTACTTCTTTCTCAATGACAAGAGTCATGGGAAATTAAGGTTCTCAGATTCTAGATTCTCAGATCCAGATACTCAGATTCTAAAAATCTGCAGTTAAGTCACTGAAAATGCTTACACAATGCTTTTGGATTCACCAAATAAAGTGTCTTAATCTTCCACTATTCTTGTTGTGGTACATCATTATGGTTAAACATACATGTATAAGATAAAGAATATACCACAAATATGGGAAATATGAATAAGAACGACATGTCCATGTTTAATGCTCAATGAAAATTTGTCAGATTATATGTGCTGTTGAGAATGAAAAATCATAAGAATTCAGACATGTGAAAAAATGCTTTTTTTTTTCATTCTGATAATAATAAATTGTGTATATATATGTAGGGTTTGGAATTCTTGCCATATATTAAATTTTATGCCCATGATAATTTTAAGCCAACAAGCATATGTA